TTAGCTGGGTGTGGTGGCAGGCACCTATAATTCCAGCTACTCGGGAGGCTGGTGCAGGAAAATCACTTGAACCTGGGAGGCAGAGGTTGCAGTGAATCGAGCTTGCACCACTCTGCACTCCATCCTAAGTGACAGAGAGAGACTCTATCTGAAAAAGAAAAAACGAAAAGCCTGGCTATGGTGGCTCGCGCCTATAATCCCGGCACTTTGAGAGGCCAAGGCAGGCAGATCATGAGGTCAGAAGATCAAGATCATCCTGGGATAAACCTCTAGCCAGACTAAGGAAGAATAAAAGACCAAAGAAATAAATTACCAACGTCAAGGAATGAAAGGGGGCGACAGCTACAGAATCTGAAGAAATCAAATCATAATTATGAAATATTTGGCCAGGCATGGTGGCTCATGCCTATAATCCCAGTACTTTGGGAGGCCGAGGCAGTGAATCACCTGAGGTCAGGAGTTTGAGACCAGCCTGGCCAACATAGTGAAACCCTATCTTTACTAAAACTACAAAAATTAGCCAGGCATGGTGGCAGGTGCCTGTAATCCCAGCTACTCGGGAGGCTGAAACAGGAGAATCACCTGAACTACAGGCACCTACCACCTCACCTGGCTAGGAGGCAGAAATTGCAGGGAAAAAATAAATGAGGGAGATTAATGAAGAGGTACTTATAACACTCTGGAAAAAAAGATGAGGATTACTCTCAGGCAGTAGCAATGCAAAGATGATTGCAACTGATGCTCAGAGGGCCATCTTAAAAGATTAGGTAACTGATGACACAAGGCTTGAGGAATGGATGCCATTACTAAGGAAAAGTCAAAGGAACAGCAGGTCTAAGTGGTAGGGGAGCTGACAGGTTGTACTTGTATCTTGCAGAGTTTGAGGCATCTTTAGGACATTCTGCTGCGAATCCAGTCTGTGTTATCATTTTGAAACTCTATGTTTTTTTCCTTAGACTCTCCACATGGGTTTCTGGGTTCAATTCACAGAGAAACCAGACTCTAACCAGAGCTAAAGTGGCCACTTTAGTATCACCAAGGGACAACTTGGGAAAGCAGATTAAAAAAAGAGCACTGCAGCTCTGCTCCAGGCTCTCCAGGCAACTTGACACAGCAAGATAGACCGAAGCCCCAGGTGCCATGGGGGAAGTCACAGCCAGCACACTGAGCCAGCAGGCCAGGAACAGCCAGTTCACACAAATTCTGATTAAATGAGCTTTAAGGGCTTAAACCATGCCATATTGAGAAAACCGGAGACCCAATCCTAAGGTACCCACTCAGAGATCACACTTTCTGAAAAATTATGAAAGAGAATCAAACAAATCTTCCTTAGATCTAGAGTTATTCCAGGTCTAAGATTCTACTCTAAGATTATGAAAGAAAATCAAATAAATCTTCCTTAGACCTAGAGTTATTCTATCTCTAAGACAATGTGTTTGTCCTTCCTAAGACTTTCTGCAAAGTAAATGTGGGCATCTTCTTTAGACATGTACTTCTTTTTCTCACCATGAACTTCGGCTCTAATGAACTTGCTCCTCATCTCCTGCTGCTGACGCACGTAGGTCTTCCAGGTCTGGAACATCAGGTTGTACAGGTAATACCTGAGGAGTAAAAAGCAAATGGCATTTCTTTAAAACAAAACAACAAGCCAGGCGCAGAGGCTCATGTCTGTAATCCTAGCACTTTGGGAGGCCGAGGCAGGTCGATCACTCGAGGTCAGGAGTTCAAGACCAGCCTGGCCAATATGGTGAAACCCCACCTCTACTAAAAACGCAAGAATTAAGCCAGGCACAGTGGCTCATACCTGTAATCCCAGCACTTTGGGAGGCCAAGGTGAGCGGATCACGAGGTCAAAAGATTGAGACCATCCTGGCCAACACGGTGAAACCCCATCTCTACTAAAAACACAAAAATTAGTCAGGCGGGGTGGTGGGCACCTGTAGTCCCAGCTCCTTGGAAGGCTGAGGCAACAGAATCACTTGAACCCAGGAGGCGGAGGTTGCAGTGAGCCGAGATCACACCACTGCACTTCAGCCTGGCGACAGAGTGAGACTGCTTCTAAAAAACAAAAAAAAAATTAGCTGGGTGCGGTGGCACACACCTGTAATCCCAGCTACTTGGGAGGCTGAGACAGGAGGGTCACTTGAACCCAGGAGGCGAAGGTTGCAGTAAGCCAAGATCACGTGTCACTGCACTCCAGCCTGGGCAACAGAGCAAGATGCTGTCTCAGAAAAACAGCAACAACCAAACAACAACAATAAAACAACTCCTAACCCAACACACCAAGTCTGTTCTATACTCAGAAGAAATTAACAGGGATGCTTCTGATTAGGATAAAAAAAAAAAAAAAAAAAAAAGCAAGCCGTATCTGTATCAAAGCTAAAATTTCATTTCCTACAATCACAATGAACTCTATTTTCCTCAAAGAAGAGTCATTCTCCATACCTTAAAGTGTCACTGACCAAGAAAAGGCTTGACTTTTCCAAGAATAAGTTAACTTTCATCATCCAAAAATCCATAATGTTTGGGACAGGTGCAGTGGCCCACGCCTGTAATCTCAGCATTTTGGGAGGCCAAGGTGGGCGGATCAAATGGGGTTGGGGGTTCGAGACCAGCCTAGCCAACATGGTGAAACCCCGTCTCTACTAAAAATATAAAAATTAGCCAGGTGTGGTGGCATGTGCCTATATGATAGGCAAATTGCTTGGACCTGGGAAGTGGAGGTTGCAGCAAGCCGAGATTGCTCCACTGCACTCCAGCCTGGGTGACAGCAACACTCTGTCTCAAATTAAAAAAGAAAGAAAAATCCATGATGCTTGGAATGACGGTCTTGTCTTTTTTTTTTTTTTAGATAGGGTCTCACTCTGTCACCCAGGCTGGAGTGCAGTAATGTGAACACGGCTCAATGTAGCCTTGAGCCCTCCCTGGGCTCAGGTGCTCCTCCCACCTTGGCCTCTCAAGTAGATGGGACTACAGGTATCCACCACCTCACCTGGCTAATTTTTGTATTTTTTTGTAGAGAGGGGATTTTGCCATGTGGCCTAGGCTGGTCTCCAACTCCTGGGCTCAAGTGATCCTCTTGCCTCAGCCTCCCAAAGTGCTAGGATTACAGGTGTGAACAACCATGCCTGGCCAACAGTCACATCTTAATTATCTTAACTATCCACACTATAAAAAACATCACTTCTCAGCCAGGCGTGGTGACTCACGCTTGTAATCACAGCACTTTAGGAGGCCAAGGCTGGAGGATCAGGAGGTCGGAAGTTTGAGACCAGCCTTGCCAACATGAGAAACCCCATCTCTACTAAAAATCCAAAAAATTAGCTACGCGTGGTGGCGTGCACCTGTAATCCCAGCTACTCTGGAGGCTGAGGCAGGAGAATCGCCTGAACCCAGGAAGCGGAGGTTGTAATAAGTGCAGATCACGCCATTGTACTATAGCCTGGGCAACAAAGCAAGACTCTGTCTCAAAAAAAAAAAAAAAAAAAAAAAAATCACTTCTCTTTTGCACTACGTGGTCATTGACACCTTTTCCTTCTTGATACACATACCATACATCTTATGATCTTCATCTCTTCATAGTTTCCTTTTTTTTTTTGAGACGGAGTTTCACTCTTGTTACCCAGGCTGGAGTGCAATGGCGTGATCTCGGCTCACTGCAACCTCCGCCTCCCGGGTTCAGGCAATTCTCCTGCCTCAACCTCCTGAGTAGCTGGGATTACAGGCGCGCGCCACCATGCGCAGCTAATGTTTTGTATTTTTAGTAGAGACGGGGTTTCACCATGTTGACCAGGATGGTCTTGATCTCTTGACCTCGTGATCCACCCGCCTCGACTTCCCAAAGTGCTGGGATTACAGGCTTGAGCCACCGCGCCCGGCCGTTTCCTTTTTTTTTAATGTTCATTTTAAAAAACTTTTTTTTTTTTTTAGGACAGAGTCTCACTCTGTCACCCAGGCTGCAGTGCAGTGGCATGATCTTGGCCCACTACAACCTCTAACTCCTGAGTTCAAGGGATTCTCCTGCCTCAGCCTCATGAGTGGCTGGGACTATAGGCACACGCCACCATGCCCAGCTAATTCTTTTTTTTTTTTGGAGACAAAGTTTCACCCTGTCTCCCTGGCTAGAGTGCAGTGGTGCAATCTCAGCTCACTGCAACCTCCATCTTCAGATTCAAGCAATTCTCCTGTCTCAACTTCCCAAGTAGCTGGGACTACAGACGCATGCTACCAAGCCTGGCAAATTTTTTTTGTATTTTAGTTGCGATGGGGGTCTCACCATGTTGCACAGGCTGGAATTTTTGTATTTTTATCTTTTATTTGATTGATTGATTGAGACAGAGTCTCGCTCTTGTTGCCCAAGCTGGAGTGCAATGGCATGATCTCAGCTCACTGCAACCTCCACCTGCCAGGTTCAAGTGATTTTCCTGCCTCAGCCTCCTGAATACCAAGGGTTACAGGCATGCACACCACCATACCCGGCTAATTTTGTATTTTTAGTAGAGACAGGGTTTCTCCATGTTTATCAGGCTGGTCTCAAACTCTCAACCTCAGGTGATCCACCGACCTCAGCCTCCCAAAGTGCTGGGATTACAAGCACCAGCCACTGCATCTGGCTCAGGTGGCCAGACCTCAGGTGATCCACCTGCTATCTGCTTACTAGAAGAACTCAGCGTGTCTCTATTTTATCTGAAATAGCCATAAACAGAACTCTTGCTCCAAAGAACCTAGATAAAGACATAACTACAATAAGAGTGAATATCATTTTAAATATACGATCTACAAGAAATGACATTCAGGTTTTAAAAAAAAGGTCTGAAAATGTGTATTTAACAATTCTCAATTGTTACTTTCCCCTTCTCTTATCCCTGGGAATGTGAATGTCAAGGGGTTGAGTTTTTTTTTTCTTTGTTTTTTTTGAGACAGGGTCTAGCTGTGTTGCCCAGGCTGGAGTGTAGTGGCACAATCTCAGCACCACTACACCCCCCTAATTTTTTGTACTTTTTGGTAGAGATGGGATTACATCATGTTGCTGAGGCTGGTCTCAAACTCTTGTGCTTAAGTGATCTACCTGCTTTGGAATCCCAAAGTACTAGGATTACAGGCATGAGTCACTGCACCTGGCCTCTATTTTCTTAATGTTCTATTTTGGGCATATGTTTTCTCCCATAATCAATATAAATTGAAACAATTTATTACTTTAAAACAGGGTGAGGCATGGTGGCTCACACCTGTAATCCCAGCACTTTAGGAGGCCGAGGCGAGCAGACCACTTGAGATGAGGAGACCAGCCTGACCAACATGGAGAAACCACATGTCTACTAAAAATATAAAATTAGCCAGGCACAGTGGCACATGTCTGTAATCCCAGCTGCTTGGGAGGCTGAGGCAGGAGAACTGCTTGAACTCATGAGGCAGAGATTGCAGTGAGCCAAGATCGCACCATTGCACTCCAGCCTCGGCAACAAGAGCAAAAATCTGTCTCAAAAAAAAAAAAAACAAACCCAAAAACCCAATCGTTTCAGAATTAGGAATTATATAGAAGTGAGAATGGGTGGGAAAAACCCATTCAAACTATTAGCATAACCAACACATAAGCGATCCAAAGTTTACTCATTTTGACCATAAACATGCCAACAAGTAGTCATCTGCTAATGTGCCTCAGTAAAACTGAAGGAGTGTAACATGAAATCTGACCTGTAGTGACAGTCAGCTCGAACACAGAGTTTCCACTCATGATGGAAAACCCACCACTCTTCTTTCCATTCTTCGAAGACCTTCCGCAGTAATTGCTGCTCATAGTAAAATCTAGGGGAATAAAAAAAAAATCAGAGAATTATATACAATGACGTTGGAGCTGACGTCTATTCCCAAATCATAGTTTCACATTATTGTTGCCTTCTCATAAAAACATAAACACCAAGATAGATTAAAAATGGAGGCCAGGCATGGTGGCTCATGCTTGTAATCCCAACACTGAGAGGTCGCGAGGAGTTTGAGACCAGCCTGGGCAACATAGCAAGACTCCATCTAGGGCTGAGTGCAGTGGCTTATGCCTGTAATCCTAGCACTTTGGGAGGCTGAGACAGGTGGATTGCTGGAGTTCAAGACCAGGCTGGGTAACAAGGTGAAACCCAATCTCTACAAAAAATAAAAAATTAGCCAGGCATAGTGGGGGCGTGCTATTGCAGTCCCAGCAACCTGGGAAGTTGAGGTGGAAGGATCGCTTGAGCCCAGGAGGCAGAGGTTACAATTAACTGAGATCTTGCCACTGCACTTCAGCCTGGGCGACAGAGTGAGAACCTGTCTCAAATACATTAAAAAAAATAATAATAAGCCAGGTGCAGTCACTCATGCCTGTAATACCAGCACTTTGGGAAACCAAGGCGGGTGGATTACCTGAGGTCAGGTGTTTGAGACCAGTCTGGCCAACATGGTGAAATCCCATCTCTACTAATAGAAAAGTTAGCCAGGTGTGATGGTAGGCATCTGTAATCCCAGCTACTTGGGAGGCCAAGGAAGAAGAATCGCCTGAACCCGGGAGGGAGAGGTTGCAGTGAGCCAAGATCGCACCACTGCACTCCAGCCCGGGTGACAGAGAAAGACTTCTGTCTCAAAAAAAATAAAAGTAAAAATAAAATAATAAAATTTAAAAAATAAGACTCCATCTCTACCAAAAAATTTAAAAATAAAGTTTATGATGATGTCTCACTATATTACCCAAGCTGGTCTCGAAATCTTGGGCTCAAGTGATCCTCCCACCTGAGCCTTCCAAAGTGCTGGTATTACAGACATGAGCCACTGAACTTAGCGCTACAAAAATTTTTTTTAATTAGCCAAGTATGCTGGCATGCACCTGTGGTCCCAGCTATTCTAGAGGCCTAGGTGGGAGGATCACTTGAGCCTCAGAGGTCAAGACCCTATCTCTTAAACAATCAAAAAAACATAAATTGGCTTTTTCAGATCAGAATCTCAGAACTACTTAAACTAGAAATGAGGTGAAAATTTTTCTAATATTGATTTTACCGATTAAAGATGTTAAAGTAAAATAAAAATCTGATAATTTTTTTTTGAGACAGAGTCTCCCTCTGTTGCCCGGGCTGAAATGCAGTGGTGCAGTCATGGTTCACTGCAGCCTTGACCTCCTAGGTTCAAGTGATCCTTCCACCTCAGCCTTCAAAGTAGCTGTGACTATAGACATGCTCCACTACTATGCCTGGCTAATTTTTTTATTTTTTTGTAGAGACAGGATTTCATCATGTTACCCTAGCTAGTCTTGAACTCCTGGGCTCAGGTGATCCTCCTGCCTTGGTCTCCCAAAATCTCACTTTTCAAATACCATAAAGTGAATTGAAAATTACTATTTTTGTTTTCATTCACCAGAAAAATATTTTTATTACTAAAAAGTAGTAATGTCTTATTTACAAACATGTGAATTTAAAGTTATAAAATAAGTGAATGCCTAACAATATTCCTAGTACTTAACAGGAACATACAGGATATTAATTTAGCTGAAATCTGAAGAGGGGAATTGTAACAACAGCAAAAGATGAGTAAGAGAAAGTAGTGAGGAAAAAGGTAATAAGGAACACAGAAGAGCAGTCACAGATGGTGTTGATTTCTTTTTTCTTTTTTGAGATAGTCTTGCTCTGTCACCCAAGCTGGAGTACAGTCACACAATCTCTGCTCACTGCAATCTCTGCCTCCTGGATTCAAGTTATTCTCGTGCCTCAGTCTCTCGAGTAGCTATGACTCCAGGAGCACATCACCCGGCCTAGCTAATTTTTGTATTTCAGTAGAGATGGGGTTTCACCATGTTGCCCAGGCTGGTCTTGAACTCCTGAGCTCAATCTGCCCACCTTAGCCTCCCAAAGTACTGGGATTACAAGTGTGAGCCACCATGCTGGCCTATCAATCACTTTGAATTTCTTGTCATGATTCTGCAGGTTACTAACATGTCATTCCTCCAAACCCACTCACAGTTTTTTTTTCTTTGAGACGGAGTCTTGCTTTGCTCTAGGCACGAGTGCAGTGGCGCAATCTAGGCTCACCACAATCTCCACCTCCCAGGTTCAAGTGATTCTTCTGCCTCAGCCTCCCAAGTAGCTGGGATTACTGGTGTGTACCACCACACCCAGCTAATTTTTGCATTTTTTTTTTTTCTTTTGAGACGGAGTTTCACTCATGTTACCCAGGCTGGAGTGCAATGGCGCGATCTCAGCTCACCGCAACCTCCGCCTCCTGGGTTCAGGCAATTCTCCTGCCTCAGCCTCCTGAGTAGCTGGGATTACAGGCACGCACCACCATGCCCAGCTAACTTTTTGTATTTTTAGTAGAGACGGGGTTTCACCATGTTGACCAGGATGGTCTTGATCTCTTGACCTCGTGATCCACCCGCCTCGGCCTCCCAAAGTGCTGGGATTACAGGCTTGAGCCACCGTGCCCGGCCTTTTTTTTTTTAAAAGATGGGGTTTCACCATGTTGGTCAGGCTGGTCTCGAGCTCCCGACCTCAGGTGATCCGCCCGCCTTGGCCTCCAAAGTGCTTGGATTACAGGCGTGAGCTACCATGTCTGGCCCAATTTTTGTATTTTTAGTAGAGATGGGGTTTTACCATGTTGGCCAGGATGGTCTCAATCTCCTTACCTCATGATCTGCCCTCCTTGTCCTCCCTAAGTGCTGGGATTACAAGCATGAGCCATCCCGCCTGGTCCAAGCTATTCTCCTGCCTCCGTCTCATGAGTAGCTGGGATTACAGGCAGCTAATTTTTGTACTTTTAGTAAAGAAGAGGTTTCACCGTGTTGGCCAGGCTGGTCTCGAACTCCTAAGCTCGGGTTCACTGGCCTCAGACTCCCAAAGTGCTGGGATTACAGGCACCCGACTCCATTTACAGTTTTTGAAAACTAGCTTACAAAGACACACATAAGGGAATTCATTTCACTATCGCTTACAATAGTAACAAGAGAGAGTGAAACATCACAATTACCCATCAAAAGAGGACAGGTTAACACAATTCCATCAATGCCATGCACTCATTTTCTACGAATAAAGCAGAGCTAAGGGTACTAAAGTGGATACATGCTTCAGAAAGTGGCTAGGTGAAAAACTAAAGTCACTGCACTGCGTGGTATGTATAATATCTTTTTTAAAAAATTAGGCCAGGCACAGTGGCTCACGCCTATAATCCCAGCACTTTGAAAGGCCAAGGTGGGCAAATCACTTGAGGTCAGGTGAGACCAGCCTGGCCAACACAGTGAAACCCCATCTCTACCAAAAATACAAAAATTAGTCAGGCGTGGTGGTGCGTGCCTACAGTCTCAGCTACTTGGGAGGCTGACACACGAAAATTGCTTGAACCCAAGAGGTGGAGGTTGCAATGAGCTGAGATCAGGCCAATGCACTTCAGCCTGGGTAACAGGGAAAGACTTCGTCTCAAAATAAATAAATAAATAAATAATTTTTAAAAATAGTATTTTATTTTTTTGAGACGGCGTTTCATTCTTGTCGCCCAGGCTGGAGTGCAATGGTGTGATCTCAGCTCACTGCAACCTCCGCTTCCCAGGTTCAAACGGTTCTCCTGCCTCAGCCTCCCTGGGATTACAGGTATACGCCACCAGGCCCAGCTAATTTTTTGTATCTTTAGTAGAGACAAGGTTTCATCATGTTGGCCAGGCTGGTCTTGAACTCCTGACCTCAGGTAATCCACCTGCCTAGGCCTTTCAAAGTGCTGGGATTATAGGCATGGGCCACTGCATCTGGCCTATTTTTATGTATTTGCAGCACACTTATGTTGGAATACATCAAATATATATATATACACACAAATATATACACATTTGTGTACATATAAACAAGCATGTGTGTATACATACATAAATGATTATGTCATACATATTAAAAGCCTGGAAAGAGTTCCAGAATATCAAACTACTGCCAGTGGTTCTCTCTCAGGGAGGGATTATAGGAGACTAGCATTTCTTAAACTGTTCATTTCTGTAATATTTGAAAAATTTTTGAGCAGATTTGTTCACAATTTTTTCTTTTTTGAAGATGGAGTTTTGCTCTTGTTGCCCAAGCTGGAGTGCAATGGTTCGATCTCAGCTCACCACAACCTCCATCTCCCACCTTCAAGTGATTCTCCTGCCTCAGTCTCCTAAGTAGCTGGGATTACAGGCATGCACCACCACACCCAGCTAAATTTTTTGTATTTTTAGTAGAGACAGGGTTTCTCCATGTTGGTCAGTCTGGTCTCGAGTTCCTGACCTCAGATGATCTACCCACCTCAGCCTCCCAAAGTGCTGGGATTACAAGTGTGAGCAACCACCCCGGCCTTTTTTTTTTTTTGAGACGGAGTCTTGCTCTTGCTCTTTCACCCAGGTTGGAGTGTAGTGGCGTGATCTCAGCTCACTGCAACCCACGCCTCCTGGGTTCAAGCAATTCTCGTGCCTCAGCCTCCTGAGTAGTTGGGATTACAGGTGCACACCACCACACACCTGGCTAATTTTTGTATTTTCATTAGAGACGAGCTTTCACCATGTTGGCCAGGCTGGTCTCAAACTCCTGAGCTTGTGATCCACCTGCCTCAGCCTCCCAAAGTGCTGGGATTACAGACTTGAGCCACCATGGCTGGCAATTCTAAAAAACTGTAATAAAAAGGAGCCATTTGCACATGGTAAAATGAACATATCCATTTACCTCCTTCTGTTCCCCACACTGCATTAAATAACAGCAAATGTATTAAAAAAGTATAAGCCTATAAAGACCAAGAAAATAGGAGAAAGGGTGACAGACAAGAGCTGTCAATAAATT